CCCCTGCTGGTCTCTGCTGGTCCCTGCTGGTCCCTGCTGGTCCCTGCTGGTCCCTGCTGGTCCCTGCTGGTCTCTGCTGGTCCCTGCTGGTCCCTGCTGGTCCCTGCTGGTCCCTGCTGGTCACACAGCAGCTGTGAAACAATCATTGTTTTCGTTCATTGATTTGTTTGTTTCGTGTTTTACGTGAATATTAATAATTTTCTTCAGACATTAAGGAAAAATAAAAGCCTCTAAAACACTGTCGAGACACTCAGGTCCATATCTGTWAGGACAGAGACTTTGTCCTGTTTGGTTCTGAACAGAACCACAAAACCTTTCAGATCAGTTCTTCAGACTCTCAGCTTTAATTCAGACGGTTGAACAAAGCGATTGCTTGGAAATATGACAAACTGAAGCATTTTATAAACATAATTTCTTCATTTCAGGGGCTCAAAAGTACCTGGAGAAATGAAAAATGTAAATAAAATGTTTATTTGGTAGAAAAGTCTCGGCTGACACTGACTGAAGAGTTGAACTCTGGACGTCACCTGACACAGGTGAACCGCTCCGCTGGGTTCAGATCAGGTGACTCACTTGGCCAATCAAGAAYCGTCCACTGCTTTGCTTTAATAAACTCCTGGCTTGTTTTGGCTCATTGTCTCAGAATTAAACAGTAACCAGAACCCTGCTTCTGTCTGTGTGACATCATCATTAAACAGGAGACATGCCCTAACCATCACACTGCCTCCGCCATGTTTGACAGATGATGTGGTAGCTCTGGATCATGAGCTGTACCTTCACCACACTTTTTACTCTCCATTCTGGTCCAGGTTGACTTTGGTTTCATCTGGTCTTCCAGAACTCTGCTGTTTTTTTTTTACACGTTTCTTTATCAAAGTTCAATCCAGCCTTTTTGTTCTTGAGGCTTCTGAGTGTCTTGCAGTGTGCAGTGAACCCTCTGTGTTTACTGTCACGCAGTCTTCTCTTTATGGTACGTMCCAAGGCTGGAAAGTAGTGAGTTATACCTGCAGTAAAGAAAAAAATCAATGTAAAATATGAAAATATGTTAATTAGTTAATTAACTGTGTATTTTTACTTTATGTTGCAGAGTTTGGTCCTCAGCACTAGTCTTACTTCCAGGAGCACATCAGTGTTTCCTGGGTCAGAGGGTGAAGCCGAGGCAGAACCAGATGGTATCTGTTCCAGACATGATGTTTGCTCTCAATCCATGCTGAAACCATCCTAACTCAGCTCGACCAACACCTGTTCCTCTGACCTTCGCTCCCTTTCAGGAGAGCGTACAAGTTGGTCCATGACAATATCAATTAATTTCACTTACCATTCAAGGACAGGAGGCAACACTCATCAAAGTTGTGCTTTTGAACTAGTTGTGGAGTTGTGTGTGATCAGAAACCGTATTCCACAGAGACAGCTTGTCACTGCACAGTCAAAGGCAGTTTCCTCCACTACTCTACGGGATTCTGAGTCTTTGCAACCTTTATTTTCTACAATATGTCTTCAAAAAACTGCCACTAATTTGCACAGGAATATATATTTTGAAATGAATACTCTGCAAAATGACATTAATTTATGACTAAAACAGAGAAAAAAGTTGAAGCTGTTGCATCAGTTAAGTCAGAAGTGTGCTTGTAGAGGCATGACATCCGCTGCAGTGGAGACACCATCAGCTCCAATTTACTATCTTTTTTAAATACTTACACCTCAAATCATCCATTTTATCTGCTTCGTTGATAAGGCCATAACCATGGACCTGCCCACACCTGCCCACACCTGCCCACACCTGCCCACACCTGCCCACACCTGCCC